ATCTCATAATCATAATGAGCAGCAATGGATAAGAGAATCCTTATAGACTTAAGCATGGCTACCAGCGAGAAGGTTTCCTCATAGTCTATCCCTTCTTTCTGAGTAAACCCTTTCGCTACAAGCCTAGCTTTAAAAGTTTGTACTTTTCCATCTACACCTCTCTTTTTCTTATAGATCCATTTGCATCCAATGGGTTTAACCCCATCAGTTGGTTTTACAAGATCCCAGACCTGATTAGAGTACATAGACTCCATCTCTGATTTCATAGCAGCAACCCACTTATCGACATCCTTATCATGTAGTGCTTGGTCATAATTGACAGGTTCGGAGGTAGGCTCCTCAGGGATCCTATCATATGATTCTCCCAAGAGTNGGGGACCAAGGGAATTGATCCCCACAATTACTGGAATTAAAAACAACTAAAAAAAATTTCAGAAGTTTAGAAAAACAGCAAAAACACCATCTAAACGACCCCGAAAGCCCAAAAAAACAACTTCAGTCAAGATCCATGAGTATTGCTCACTGGGCCGTTTCGCATGGACCTGCCAAGTTTCAGGTCAATCGGAGTCCGTTACTTTTTTGACCTCCGATTTTCTACCCTAATTCGGCAAAACTTGTTTTTCCGTTTTACATGATAAAATTCAACTTTCAGATTATTCTAACTCAACATCATCAATATTAAAAGGATACATCAAGTTTTCACAATAATCAACACAATCCATAACAGATAATCACACCAAAAAACAGTGCAGGTTTTCAGAAAAATAAACTTTGCATGTAATTCAAAACTTGCATATAGAACATGATATTAATCCTTATGGTTTATCCTAATTATTTAATTAGACGTGAGTAGGCTATGATACCAATTGTAGGATTATACACCACAGCAGAAGCAATAACAGAATCTTATTCACGTGTAATCTAAACAACTAGCACGTATGGAGATTTTAGGATTACCTCTTGAAGCGTAAACACAACAAATCTATGTCGTTCTCCAGTTCCTCAGTTGAAAACACACCAGCAGATTTCCACAGCCTTCTACTGTGTTACCCAAACAATAACCAAAAATTGAGAATTTTGGGTGGGCAAAATTCTAGTAGAAATTGCAGTCAGAATTTTGTCAAAAACGTCCAGCCCTTATATCCATATATATAATTGCGTTTTAGGTCAAACCCGTTTTCAAAACCTGTTAGGTTAACTTCTCTCACTAAGGGACGGTTTCCACGTTTTCTTTCCCACTAAGTAACAGTTTCCACTATTTTCTATTATTTAGGCACAGTAGGGACCACAAAATTTAATTAACAAGGCTTCCTATTATGATATTAATTTCGAAATTCTGAAATTAATTTCCATCATAATAAATTAAGAATTATTCCACTAAAAAATTCGTAATTTCACTCCTTAGTTCAATTTCGAAATTCTTCCATAAAACCTTATTTAACTCCCCATGTTAAGATTCAGATACTAATCAATCAAATTAAATTACTGACTATTTAATTTATTGATTACTTTCTTTAGACTTACACTTAACTTATTTCATGTGTCGGATACAAAATCCACCGACCGGATTTACACATGAAAACTTATAAGCTTTCATAAAGGAGTATCATCAATCTCAAAATCGAGACATGGATTCCATCAACTAATTATTACTTCGCCAATGTATATCATTGTTATCCAATTCATCAGGCTTATTGACTCGCGAAAGAATCTTGCCTTTTAATAAATCAAAACAACAAGTGACATAAACAACTAATAATAATTATATCAGGATTAAGAGTATAAGTACATTAAATGGACTAGAGAATATTATTTTATAAAGTCAGTATAAAATATTCATCTCTACTTGATCCGTTCAATACATACAAAATGTACTAGCACAAGAAGTTGGAATTAAACCATTCTCATAATCAAGATAAATTATATTTAATCTTGTGCTACAATCATTCCGATGATTTGTCCAATTCCATCATTAGATTGTGAACATTAACTTTTATGTCTTACAAGAACCGATGATTTAATCTTCCGTGTATAAGCTAAACTCTATACACTAAATCATCTACTATGTAAGCAATGGACGCACAAACCAACACATGATCTATTTAAAATGAAACTTTATTGAATTTAAATAAGTAAATAAATAATTGTTCATAAAGAATACTATAACAATACGTATGGCTTATAGTATATTCTAACAAAAACAGAGGGAAAAAACAGAAAAGAATCTACTTTTAACGGATCATGAGAAAAAGAAGCAACCCCACAAAAAGAAACAGAACATTTTCACAAGCTTCTTGAAAACCCAAGTTGCAAAGACACATATATTGCAACAAAGTAAGAATTTTAGCTAAAAACATTCTCGTGATTATAACTTTTACACAATCACTGAATAAGTTCTTAATATGGAAAAAGCATCTTTATGAACTTATATCTTACAGATTAACAAAACTTAGGCGAGAATTCCTCTTTGATTAGTTGGATAAAAAACTTTATTTTTAACACGATTTGTTGATCAGTATTGATAACATTCAACATGTACGTTTTTTTTCACAAATGCTTATATCTTTGTCCAATTACTTGATAAGTGCACACAAGAGAATGTACATATGTTTACTATAAATCCTAATGCTTCAATTCATTATAGCTTTTGTGCATTCACATATCATTCACTCAAATGCATCTTTAAAAATTACCCAACAATAAGATAGAAATTTCTCAACTACAAAGGTCAAACTTTTAGCTCACCAACTATACCACATAAAAGCAATGGCAAACTATTACTTTAAGCTCTTTCTAAGAGCAGAAAATTTTACTTCACCAAATACTGCGGGACATTAAATGGGTACCATTAATAGAGGCAAGGCTAAGATTTGAAGTTTATGAGTTTTGGATTTGCCATGAAACCCATAGCCCGTCTTTATTATTGGTTCACAGTTAAATATTTATACATATTTAAAGAATTACCTTATACAAATACGCTGTCTAAGCAAGAGTGACTGGATTTGGTCGAACCCGCACCTAATAAGCTCGCTCCGCTCCTTGTTCCACAGCTTTTGGAACCAACATATGCACTATGCAGATATTAGCAGAGAACTACCTAACATTCAATTTTAGAAATTACATAAGCATAACATTACGGTTCAGATGGTCCTCCAACTATAAGGAATATCAAGAGTTTGAAAAATCACGTTTTGGGCAGTTTTGATACAGTCAAAACTCAAGCACGAAGGAGAGATTATATTCTTGAATCTAGAAAATTATATAAACCACCAATACCAAATTAGAAAAGATACTAAGAAAATTCTCATTCAAGAATTAAATCTTCGGCAATCAAAACTCTACACCCAGAAATTAGAAATTTTCATCAACTCATAGACCTACCCAACTAAAAACCTAAAGATAAATAGAGATACTTACCAAGAATTTTGATGGTGGCCATAAATTTGGTTGCCGATGGAGATTTAGAAAGCAAAGTGATGGTGGCCGAAAATTTAATTTAGAGAGCAAAGTGATGTTGGCCGTATGAATTTTTTTCTTTAATCTAATTTCTAGGTATGAGAAGGTATAACATTTTCGCGGGAGAGAATTTAGAGGAAAAATTAGAATATGGAGGGAATACCAAAAGTAAAAAATAAAACTTTACCGTCTATATTCTTGAATCGTCACTAAAACTATAATATTTACCGATTAATATCCATTGGCCGCTAATATTTGTCTCCTGCGAATAAATTAGCGGCAATTAATCTATTGCCGCTAAATAATTACCGCTAAAGCCCCTTTTTGTTGTAGTGAAACAATTGCAACTGCAATGAAGCACTATTCTGTCATGCACAAGTTCCAATTCAGGGTTAAAAGATCTAGTGCTAGAAAGTATGAACATATGAATGGTCAAAGATTATTATTTTTTTAATTTTGTAGTTTATTTGTAATTTTTTACTTCTTCAGTTTTTTCTTATGTTAACGTTTAACTGTATTGTAGATGAATTGTAGTTATGTTGTATATAGATTGTATAATGTGATCGTTTAAGCTAAAATAATCTTTTTTCTTTTTAAATCTACATTTTAAAAAAGTGTTTAAATTGTATTTATTTTGTAGCTACTAGCTGATATGTGTTGGTGAAAATTGTACATGGCACTTCAAGGCAACTAGCATAAATGATTCTGCAATGTTCAAGGTCAAAAATTTCGACAACCAGCACACATGCTCTTTAATGGACAATACATTCATACAACGCAAACCTACTGCCATGGTAGTTGGTAGCATGGTTATTCCAAAATATTCTGATCCTAAGACAATTTACACACCAAAAGACATACAATTTGACATGTTGTCTGAATACGGCGTGAATCTAACCTACATGCAAGATTAGAGAGCAAAGGAAAAGGCTTTACAATTTTTGAGAGGTCATCCTGCTGACTCATACAGCAAATTGCCTAGTTATTTGTATATTTTGGAGAAGACTTATCCGGGGTCTGTAGTTAAATTGAAGAAGATAGACGATGATTGATTCTTATATGTATTTGTTGCGATTTGTACGTCAATCAGTGGTTGGGAATATTGTAGGCCAGTTGTAGTAGTTGGTGGGACCTTCTTAAAGTCAGCATATAGGGGAATAATGCTAACAGCTAGTACAATGGATGCAACATATATTAAAGTTTTATTGTAGAAATATTGTAGCTTGTATGTTTTTTGTAGTACTTGTAAATTTTCTGTAGATATATTTTAGAAAAGTTGTAGTTTGTATGTATATGTCTTCTTCTGCATTTTTCCTGCAGCCAATTAATTGATTTTTGCCACATAATGTAGGTACCATATTACCATTGGCATATGTTGTTGTTGATTCAGAAAATGACGCATCATGGAAGTAGTTTTTTGAGCAATTCAAATATGCATATGGTGAAAGACCAAATATGTGTGTTGTTTCGGATCGTAATGAGAGTATCTTAACATCTATTGTTTATCCCAGCATGCCACATTATTCTTGCATGTGGCATATTTGGACAAATATACGGGCAAAGTTCAAGAAGGGACATCTAAAGTTAAGTGAATTGTACTTTGCCACGGCATGGTCATACACGCTTGATGAATTTAATGAAAGGATGTCAAAGATTGAAGAGATTGACCCCCCGTGTTAAAGCATACTTATACGATATTGGCTATCATAGATGGTCTCGAGTACACGCTACGGTGAACAGAACTTGGACTATGACATCAAACATTGCAGAGTCGTTGAATGCTGTAACAAAATATGCAAGAGAGTTGCCGATAGTAGAACTATTAGAGTATATAAGGACCCTTCTTAAACGTTGGACGAAGGAAAAGTTATTGAAAGCAAAGGGTACATTCACATACCTTGGGTTCAAATTCAACAAAGAGTTGGATGACAACAGAACATTGTCGCACAAGCTTGGAGTAAGATCTGATCATTTATTACATCAAATTAATTTATACAGGACAATGTAGATATTTTGAGTTAAACCGTATATGAATTGTTTTTTTGTTTGTAAAATAATCGTAGGTGAGGGCTTCAACAGACTACATCCATACAGTACTAGATGGTGTGAGTCGCTATATTGTTTGTCTTGAAAACAAGAGATGTAGTTGTGGGCAATTCCAGCTTGATGGACTTCCTTGTACACATGCTTTGGCTGCTTTAAGGCACATGGATGAGTCTTTTGAACAATATTGTTCTCCTTATTACACAAAGTAGAACCTCTTGCGTATTTATGAAATACCAATAAATCCCCTGCTTGATGAAAGCAAATGGAATGTGCCACAACATATATATGAAGAAGTAGTAAATCCACTTACAGGATGGAAAAGGCAGCCAGGAAGACCTCAAAAAGAAAGATACAAAACATATGATGAAATAAATTTAAAGAAGTACAAGGTTTTATGTGGCAACTGCGGAGGAGAAGGGGATAACAAAAGATCTTGCAAGAATTCCCCAAAAAGAAATAAAATTTTATGTAGTTAACAGAATATTTCATAATATTTTTGGTGAGTTTAGGATAACAGATTTTGATGTGTAATTGTTGAGGTTTTTTAAGATCATAATGTAGTTAGTTAGGATTTTTCTGTATTGAGATAATACTTTCATAGAGTGATTTGTTTATGAATGGTTTCTATATATATAATCTATCACTTTTTTACTATCTATAGCATCCTATACATTGTTGTTAATGCGTTTTTGCAATTTATCTACAATACAACTACAAAAAAAATTACATTAACTGGAATTAACAGGGTAACTACATTATAAATCAGTAGGAAAGGAGTTATATACTAAAATATTGTAGATCAAGTACTGTTTAAATTCAACAAATGAATATAAAAGCAACAAAAATATTGTTAAATTTTTCTACAAATTATTTACAAATTCAACTACAAAAAAACTACAATAGCTGGAGCTACCATAATAGCTAGATTATATTTCAGCTAGAAAGAAGTTATATGCTAAAAATAATGTAGATCAGGTACTTTTTACATTCAACAAATTGAATGTAAAAGCAACAAAATGTTTAGTCACTGATTTTTACACTTTATCTACAAAAAAACAACAAAATAACTACATATTTTTTGCGTTGACAGAATAACTGTATAAAAATTCAGTTGGAAAGGATTTATATGCTAAAATAATGAAGATTAAGTACTGTAAAGATTCAACAAGTGAATATAAAACCAACTGAATATTTCCATTTGAATTACTATACTGGATAAGAAAAAATAAAAAAACAAAGGCTACAATAATTGTATGCAAGTCAGCTACAATTAAAACACAATAATATTGTTCAAAAATTTGTCTACCATCTTTCTTCTAAACTAACATCAACTAAACAATTGTACTACATGTTCAATACAAAACATTACAACTACTTCTTCTTCCTCTGAACTCGTGTTTTCTCATTCAAATCTGGTGCACCTTTTCTTCTAGCCAATTTGCATGTCACCTTACTTTCACTAATTACCCCATGCTCCTACTTCTTTCTAGCATAGACCCAAAGTAGTGGTCCATAGCGTCTACGGTGTTGGTCAATATCAGAAAGGTCTTCTGCCGGAATTGATAACTTTCCAAGACTAACATACTCTGCAAAGGCAACAACAAATACACCACAATCGCTGCAAAGATTAAAAAAAAAGTCAAAATTTGCCGAACCATTAAAGAAAAAAAGGGTTAAATGTATAGAAAGAAAAAAGATTTTTGTTACAGTGATCCTTCTTTTTGTTGTGGTATCTCTCCGACGATCCACTGAATGTTAAGAGGGTCGGTAACAGCTTTCTCAATGTATGCCTTTGTATTCTTGAAGTTGATGTCTTTATATTTCCCATAAAAATCGGTGCATGACAAATACAAAGGGACAATAACAGAAAACTTGTCAACACAAGATTCAACAATTGGGTGATTGCGTGAAGAGACCGTGGAATCATACGCATAAAGTTGCATGTCTGCAATGTCAAAAACAACCAACACCCAGTGGAATATTTCTACAATGTTGACGGGCATGATGACATAATCAACTTCATCCCATGCAAAATTTGCGAGTAGTCTATACCCCAATATATATTCTGCTACAACGTCCTGGGGTTTGACAACAGAAAACTTTTTTTCTTGAGGAGAATTTTGGAACTTTTCATAAATTTGATCAATCCTAGTCTTGAACACACAATTGGTTGTAATAAACCTGGTCTTGTTGTGAGGGTCATACTTTCCTCTTTTCCTCAAGTAATACATTATAACATTAATGTGCTGCAACAAAAATAAATTGCATTTATTCTACAAGTTATATTCAAATATTCTACACAAAACTACAAAATAACTACAATTCATCTACAATCAGAATACAAAGCATCTACAATCAGAATACAAATTATCTACAAATTATCTACAAATTATCTACAAATTATCTACAAAAAAGCTACAAATCAAATACATTGAATAAAAGAACCACTCCTTCTTGTCAACCTTTTCCATTCCAAGATCTAACCATGGCTAAATTTGGTTGTCCTTTATAGAATACGGACCCTTCCTCATATATAAACAAATACAAATTAAAATAAAATTGTTGCATGAAGTGGATGTGTAAAAGATGAATACTGGAATAAAAGTGTCAAATTGTGAAAACTAACCTCTTTGAACCTGTGTCAATACCGCCACTTGTGGAATTGATCCAACAACTCATGATCTATATTTTGGCCAATAACACTAGTAAATAGGTGCTTGAGGTGAAATATTTGAGGTCCAACCGAGATGCTGCCACCAGAACTGTATAAAGGGAGAAATGGTGATCAGGCATGTATTCCCGGCTGCCTTGTTCTACCTTGATACACGGGTGTTGTTTCATCTTGTATAGGCTCGCCAAACTTAACCAACTGGGAGAAGTTATCAGGCAGGTCGAAATCATCAAGTGTAACCTCCTTCTTCTCACCTCCGGAGTCTTCTAAATCACCTACATTCACATAGTGTGCCTCTTCACCTACATTGTCATCTTCCTGATTCTGTTGTTCTATTTGAGCTGATACTGTCACTCCGTGAATTGGAGATTGTGCATGCACATCTTTCCTCTCTGTAACACCATGTATATCTAGCTTAATAGAATGGTAAAAATATTGAAACATAAAGAAAATATATCTGAATACAATTTCATACCTGCATTCTCTTCATCAACTGCCCCTTCAAAATGTGTATATAAATCAACACGTGCTGGATTATTTTCTTCACCAAGTGCACCTTCAACATGTTCTGTTTTTTCATTAAAATGTTAAATCATAATGGATAGTAGTGGCTTGACAGTTTAAGAAGATATGTAGGTGAGTTTAAGATCCAAATAAATCTATAGAGCTGTGCCAAATATGTTGTATTTATTTATATATATTTTGTATATATAATGTAGACAAATTGTAGTTATTATGTAGATAACTTGTAGATATTTTGTAGATATTCTGTAGATAATTGTAGATAAAGTGGAGTTATTTTGTAGATACCTATTTTATCGGTGCTGCCTGCACTGGTTCTCCGCTACTGAACTGAAATTGTTGATTGTTATTGTTTTTTGGTTGGCCAGTATTTTTGGTTGAACTCCCAGCAAACTGAAAGTTTTATATTAGTTAGGACATATATTTTAGAGGAGACATAAATAGTTTTGTTAATTTGAATAAAATTGAAATGTTACCTTTGCATCAACTTGATCATTTGGACTGTTTATCACCTGCAAAACAGTCTTGACTGACTCATTTATTAGCACTCGAAGGTTACCTAGTTCTTCAAAGACATCTTTCCTACATTTTCAAGCTTTTCATCGACCTACATAATAAAAAAAATACATAGTTAACTTCACAATATGTCTTAACATACATTAAAGAACAGATGCACTATTATGTATACATCACAATGTTGTTTAGGAATACATGTTACCTTGTCAAGACCTCTTTTTAACTTGCTTATTTTATGAAGAATAGACTCGTTGTCCTCTTTTCCAGTTGATTCTTTGGGTTCCAATGGAGGAGCATCAACTTTGGGATCCTCAGAAACATGTTCAACCTCTTCAATTATGTACTCAACTTTATCAGGCAAAGACATCACTGAAAACTCTTCAGGTGATTCATTTATGTTGGTGAACTGAATGAGGAAAAAAAAATTAGCTCGATTAAGGCAGAATATGTATACAATTGTAGATATTTTATAGGTAAATTGTATAATCATAAATAAAAACCATTTACCTTCATCCATTCAGGCTTGATCATTTTGTCTTCAATTGCAGCTAACTAAATCTGACCCTTACTAGCTGACCAGTTAAGTATGCGAGGGATTGAATTAGAAATCCTTGTAGCTATATCAGTGTTAATGGAGGAGCAACACTCATACAACCATACTTGCATGACTAGTGGGAATCCTCGAATGAGATAATAATGAACGAAAGGATTTAGCTTGTGCCTAACTGATTCAAACAACTGTCTGTAAGACTGAATACCCCATGGAAATGTCTCGTACTGACCGGATTCCACCAAATAAAACCTAAAATGATCTACCAACCCAATATGTTCTCTCTCTGAAGGACAAATGAAGAATTCTATGAGATATAGAATACATAACTTTACTGCATCCTCATCATTTACCCAATTTTTGTTGGTTACAATCTGTTTTAGGTATGTCTTCTCCACTTTTACCTTGTTTGAAAAGTAACTGTTCATTATCTTACTGACATAATTCGGAGTGTAACCAAAGTATGTCACCTCGGTATGATATCTAAGACCAGTTATTAATGCGAACTCTCTCAATCCAAAATTTAACCTCTCACTTTTTAACTCAATTGAAAAATAGGAAGCATCAGATGAATTCAATTCATACTTCATAAGAAGATGGATAGCTTGATTTTGCATGCATAAATTGGGAAATGACAGTAAATAACCAAAGCATGTCTTCTTGAATAGCTTCAAACCATTTGGATCCAAAGGCTCTTTAACTTGGCTAGGAATGCTAGGGTCACATAATGTCTGAAATCTAAGAACCCTATAATCAACATTATGGGATGCAAAAAAATGTCCATGCTGCACAATCAATAAATATAATCTTACATTAACACAATGCTTAAAAAACATAGAAACATTTGCAATCTATATACAAAATAACTTCAAAAAATATACAAAATATCAACAATTTTAACACAGATAAACAAAGTTACAGTTAATCTTCAAAATGAAGACAAATAATCT